AAAAAAAAAAGGATGGAAAACAGATGCATAGAACAAACATTGGAAGCTGAACTGTCAAAAACTCGAGCAGTTAGATAATATTAGTTTATGTCACCTTCTCTGTATTTCATCTAAAAGTGGGAAGTGTAAGCATTAAAAAATACCCAGACATCAATGATTGAAGTTAACACCTTTTAAATAACAAGTACCAACCAGGCTTTTGGTTTTCTGAGTTCGTCTCGGGGTCAGCCCCTCTTTCCGGTCCCTCGTTCCCTTGCCGTGTGTCCTGCAGGCCAGCGGCATCTTCTGCGGGAGGCGGTGTCCTGGACAGGAGAGGCGGAGGTTAGCTCAGGCACCTGTGTCTCTCCACAGGAACTTCCCGAGGAGGAGGAGGAGGAGGAGGGGTGGCAACGAGTGACTGTGAAGGGCCTGTTACCCTGGAGTCAGACCCCCGAGGACCCGCCAGCTCTGCTCACTGCTGCCCGGGCGTCAAGCACGCGACTGGTGATTATCACCAAAGAAAGGCACTAACTCATTTACCAGAATGACCATCCTTCCAGATCCACTGAGCTGTGACAGTAGCGGCTTACACTGCTACCCACCTCTAACGGGATAAAAGGGCAGAACGCGAAAAGCCAGTTCTCCCTCCTCCCCGCCCCAGTCTCCTGGACCATCCCTGTTCCTGGGTTGGGTCTGCTTCTAGAGTTCTTTGCACAGAAAAGAAAATATTGCCATCTATGTTTCTATCTAAAGCACACTCATACATTTAAAGACAAGCAAACCTACCAGATTCCTTCGTTTTCTTAGACTTAATAACTAGAGATGACTTCACACCAGTGCACAGAGGGCTGCCTCATTCTTTTAAAAACTTTAAACTGTGTTTTTCTTCTGGTTCTTTGAACAAGTAACCATTTGTGTGGCTCCACATTTTACATTAAGTAATGAGGTCTGTACGGCGAAAGCCTCCCCTCACACCTGCTCCCAGCCCAGCTCCCTCGCTCCTGGTGTCTCCTTGGAGATCACCATCACGCGGGCCTGAATGGGCAGCCCTGCACAGACACACGCAGCGACACGCGAATGTGAGGAGCGTGTGCGTGTCTCCAAGGGCACTTCTGAGGGCCCCAGATGAAGCCCGCGGCAAACACGCCCCAGATGGCGGGGCAGCGCGCCAGGCCAGCCTCCACGCAGGGACCCCCAGTGGCCCGTCCTCCTCACCCTGCTGTGGTCACCCACTCTCTGCCCTCACCTGGGCACCACCCTCCTCCCCTGGCTCCTCCTCTGCCAGGCCCGTTCCTTCCTCCTCACACACTCCTCAGGTGCCCGCACACCCAGCGCCTGCCCTGCGTCTTTGCTGAGCTCTGGGCTTATGCTGTCAGCAACCAAAACCGTCCAAAGCCTGACTGGCAGTTTCTCTTCCTCTCCAACGAGCTGCTCTCGGGGAACCACGCCCCCTACATGTGCCGCTCACTGAGTCCTGTCGGTCCTCTGGTGCCCGCTCCGCGCTTCCCGCCCATCTCCCCGCACACTGGCCCCGCATCCCGCACGCTATCTACTCAGCTGTGCAACCCAGCCTCGCAGACCTTCTTTCTACCAAACTCTGCCACTCGCCACTGACTCTAATTTGCCCCCAGGTCTTCTTCTCCTTTCTCGGAAGGCTGCTTCCCCACAACCCTAAACGCTCCTCCCGGCTCCCTCGCCGTTCTCCAAGAGCTGTCTGAAACGCACTCCCCCGGGCAGACTCCCGCAGTGCTCGGCCCCTCTCCCCGCCTGCCAGGACCACGTCTGTGTCACACTCCCTGCTCCGTGACGAGACCCCAGTGTGGGGACCACGCGGAGCCTCTGCTCGGAGCTGGGCTCACCAGCGGACTAAGGACTCATTTTGGGGACTAAGCCTCATTTTGATTCAATCTAATCAACCGTCACGGCAGCTTCATTTCTAAAAAGAACATCTTACACGTGTAGAAAAATTGTTTCCCAAAAGTGGGAGTAAACCAACTTGTATCCTAACCCCACAGATACCCAATTTTATTGAGATAGAAAACTAAAAAACTTTAGACTACAAATTATTTTCACTTTTGTCACATTCTTTTAAATCCCTCTACTTTTAGCTGCACCTTAGGACTCTTCCAAGGTCACCCACGACCACTATGTCCCGTGGTCGGTCCTCATTCGCCTGGCCTGTCGCCGGCCTGGCCGAGCTCACCACTCCCTGCCCGGGACGCTTCCCTCGCCCGCCCCCCGTGCTCGAAATCTCACCAGCTCCAGCTTCAGAAGCCAGAGACTTCCCACCACCTCCGCAAAACCTGCGTCGCCCCACCCTAAACTCTCCGCAGGGCCTCGGTCCCCACCCCTCTCTTCCGTCTAATTCTTAACGCGGCAGCCAAGGACCGCCTTTCATTCCAGTCGTTCCTCTGCTCAGCGCCCTCGCGGCTCCCATCTCTGTAGAGCAAGGTGCCCAGAGCGGGCAGACTCGCAGGGACAGAGCAGAGGTGGCGGGGCTGGGGAGAGGAGGAACAGGGAATGACTGGACAACTGGCACAGAGTTTCTGTCTGGGAGGATGACAAAGTTCTGGCTGGAAACGGACAGTGGCCATGGCTGCACCACACTGTGAACGTGGCAAGTGCCACCGAATCACACACTGAAGAGTTACAATGGCAAATTTTATGTTGCGTGTATTGTATCACAATAAGAAAACACATGCGATTAATGACTGCTAAGGTTTTTAGATGTGATCACAGCACCCTAGGCAAGTTTTTAAAAGCCTGTTGCGGCCGGGCGTGGGGGCTCACGCCTGTAATCCCAGCTCTCTGGGAGGCCGAGGCGGGCAGATCGTTAGACGTCAGGAGCTCGAGACCAGCCTGAGTAAGAGCGAGACCCTGTCTCTACTAAAATGAGAAAGAAATTAATTGGACAACTAAAAATACATAGAAAAAATTAGCCGGGCATGGTGGCGCATGCCTGTAGTCCCAGCTACTTGGGAGGCTGAGGATCGCTTGAGCCCAGGAGTTGGAGGTTGCTGTGAGCTAGGATGATGCCACGGCACTCTAGCCTGGGCAACACAGTGAGACTCTGTCTCAAAAAAAAAAAAAAAAAAAAGCCTGTTGCTCCACATACTCGCCGACACTTGCTATGCATTTTCCTTCCTTCACTCTACCCTTGCTGGTGGGTATGAAGGGGTAGCATTCACTGTAGTTTTAATTTGCATTTCCTGAAAGACCAACGAGTTTCAGCACATTTTCACGTGTTAACTGCACATTTTTAAGTTGCTGTTCACGTCTTCTGCCTACTTTCCTGTCTGCAGTTTTCTTCCTGATTGGAAGGAGTTGCTGCTACAAATCCTTGCGTGGACACACACGCTCTGCCTGCCTTCCCCTCTGGGCGCCGCCAGTCTACTTTCTCGGTCTCCTGTCCGCTTACGGGCGCGGACACTAGTGCAACCACTGGGAAAACTGTTGGGCGGTAGCTTCGTTTATGACTCAGCAACCACCTGCCATCAGAAGTATGTTAGTAAGTGCACCGAAAGACGAGTATGAGAACGTTTAAAGCACCACTGCTGAAGCGCCCCAAACTGGAAATTTCCCCCGTCAGCAGCAGAATGGGAGAACAGATTACGGTACATTCATACAAAAGAACATTGCGCAGCGACGAGAACTCAGATCTACAGTTCTGTGCACAATACAGATAAATTTCACAAACAATGCTGAGTTAAAGAAGCGAGACACGAAAGACACACTGCATGATTCTATTCAAACCAGAAACCCAGGGGAAACCCATTGCTGCTTTTCCGTGTCAGGAGAATGGCTCCTCCTGGGGAGGGGTGGGGAGGGCGAAGAGGCGGCTCTGAGTCAGGCTGTTTCTTGATCTGGGGCTGGTTACAAGTGTGCTTAGAGAACCCATCAAACCGTACACTTCTGAGGTGTGCACATCTCCGTATGTGTGCTATTTGTCAATAAAAAGTTAACAAAAACCCTTTGTGTGAGAGATACAGGGGAAAGCATGTATCTGAGATTTGTTTTACCATATTCCACTGAAACAAGAGCGTGGGCTGGGGTATGAATAAAACAAGGTTCCCAAAATCTTGGTAATAATTAAAGCTGGTGACTGGATGGAGATTCATTAAACTACTCTACTTTCATAAAAAGTGTCCTTAACACTCGTGCGTTCTATTCCCAGAAATCAGCTCTTCTAAAAGGGAAAGAGAAATCCACTTACGGAGCGTGGCTTGGGCTCTCTTCAAAAGCTGGCATTTTAGCTCCTTCGTATAATTTTTTCAGTTGTTCTGTGTGTTCTGAATTATCAATGCCCATTCCCATCAACAAAATTTCAGCTCGAACATTATAGTCGATGACAGAAGTTTTCAAATTTGAAAGGTTTGTAATGTGCACCTTGAATCAAAGAAAAATGCAGCATTTGCAGGAATCACTCTGTGAATTTTAACGGAATCACAGACACTCTCACGCGGCCTCTCGGTCTCTCTGCAACGTTTGACACACACTGCACGGGTCACCGGCAGCATCTGGATGTCATAGCTGAGGCTGCGTCAGGATTTTCCAAAGCCCAGCCCCATGCCCCAGAAACATGAGCACGTGTGGGGTGGGGCCGAGATTGAATCCTGAGATAAAACCCCTAGTCAAGACCACTGTGTAACGCTGTAACCAGACACTAAATTCCTGTATTTTTCTGATTCTTACACAGTGACGTTTATCTCTATTAACAAGGAGAATCCCAAGGCTCCGAGTCCTTGTGTGCCTGGAAAGGGCCCCTGCCAAGGCCCTACATTCCATGTTCCGGATCGTTCCCTCCACTTGTCTTCTCTGCAACCGAAACATTCTCATCCACTTCAATTTATACGGAATTAAGTAAAACATGAAAATCTGCAACAGTCTGATCCCTGCTGATGGGGGTGTGGGCACAGCCCTTCCGTGGTGGGGCAGGGGCAAGGCTGGCACTGGCTGGGCACTTTCCTGTGGGAACCCTGGGAACCCATCCCCAGCTGGGACCGTGCAGAGCCCTTCCCCACTCATGCTGGCACGCGGCGGGCCTGCGCGGAGACGGGAAGTGGGGGGGGGTCTGTTTTCCCTCCCGTGGGCCAGTGGACACTGTAATATACTTCGCAGCTGTGGAAACATATTTGCCAGTGGGTTTTCTTTTTTGCTTCATTCTGTTAGCTACAGTTTTAGAAATCTCTGCTTAACAAAGTTTCCATTTTTTTCTCCAATAAAGAACAACTACAATACTAACTATCACAACATCAACCAACACCCCCAAATCTCTTCATTTGCCTGCATTGGTCATCTATTTTTTCTCTTCTAAAAATGATTTTCTCCTCTTGCTCTTACACAAACTCTTCTTTTAACACATTAAAAACAATGTTCAGCAAAACAGTTTTTATAAACTGAATTCCTTTAAGCCTTATAAATAATTAAGATTTAAGTCTAATACAGCAACACTGTGAATTGAACAGCAGAGTTCCTGAAAGCAGAAAGGGGTGGTGCCGGCATCGCGGAGAGACGGTGCTCGTCTCGCACTCGCCCCTCCCCTCCCCCCGCAATCGGCTCCAAGGACCGGCGGCTTCGTCTGCGGTGTTCACGGATGGAACCCAAGGGCCCGGTTCTGGTCCTAGCACATGGCAGCGCTCAGTAACTACACGGCAGAAACCGTGAACGGGACAGGACCCGTCTCTGAATGCCCAAGGACTGGAATCCCCGACGTCACCGACCACGTCTCAGGGCTTTGGGATCATTTACAAACCGGACAAGACGGGCGCTGTCACAGCTGTCACCGATCTGGGCCCTGGAGTGGTGTGGACAGTGGATCGTGAGGGTCATTTCAGGGTTCACAGTCAACACTTGAGAAAGAGAAATAGAACTTCGATCTCAGAGCGTGTCACAGGCAGTAGGAAGAGCGTTCCGGAACTTCTGCTCAGCTGTGAGAGTGCAGGTGCGTGACGTGCGCAAATGCGTGCGCGCTGGGTCACGACGTAAATACGCCCCAGACAAAAGCTACACCCACAGCCAAACTCGAGTCCCAAATAACATGAAAAACACCTCTCCCTAAAAGAGAGCCCCAAATAAGTCTGTTTCTGTGAAGCGGTTATTCAAGTAGCAGGTCAGAGTAATTTGAATGATTTTAGGGGACTATTCGAACAGAGATTTCTTTTTAAGAAAACCGCATGCTTACTTACCATTGGGTCAATCCAGACGGTATTTCCCAAAGCCAGTATCACTTTCGCATCGTGCAATTTTCCAACAATTTTATGATGAATGTACCTAGTAACCTGGGGGAAAGCACTTAAGTTTTTATCTGAGGGTTATTCAGTATATGCTGTATAGTTTGCAAAATATTCCACGCATTTCACTCGAGCCTCATGGCAACCCTGTGAGGTGACAGAGGTGACCACCCCCCTTTCATCGACGAGGCTAACAGCAGAGTTTAACAGGGACAGATGCAAAAAGGTGCCAGAACTCGCCCGGGTCTCTCCCTAGTGCATCCCAAGAACGGGCGAGGGTTCATGCTTTTGGATACTGCAGTGTCCCACTGTGGACGTGTGTACCCCTCTCCTCTGTCAACTACCCGTCTATCTTTAAAGCATGGATGTTTATTTCTTCGAAAGCTCAATGAGGGTGAAGTGAAAGTTGTTCCCGCAGTTCCAGAGGACGTCACAGTGACGGAGCAGCTCTGCAACCAGTGACGCTAGAATTGAGGGGCTCTGGTCTTCTGTGTCCTCTTGCCTGGCTGTTTTCCTCGCAAGCAGGGCAACAGATGAGACCTGTCTGAGCAATCTTCCCTGCACGTGTTCACACCAGTAAAGCAGAGCAGGAGGAAACTGGCCCATTACCAGGACATTGTTTCCATCCCCCTTGAACTCTGCAAACGAATTTGGAAAAATACATACAAGAGAACTTTCCCCCTTTTCCATAGAAGGCTGCTCTTCAAGAAATACTTGTCAATAATCTTTATAGACCAAATGTTTCTTGAAGACAAGGACCATAAATTTCTTGCCGATGGCTACATCGCCAGAACCCAGCAAGGCCCCAGCACACAGTGAACACTCAGTAAATACTTATTACAAAAAAGGAAAATGACTGTTATTTGATAAACGCTATTTTTACCAAACTCATTTTACCAAACTCACGACAGTAAGGTTGTGTATTTATACTGTATCATGGAAACATTCATTTGTTTATTTCCTGGATAATGTTTAACCTTGCTTTTTTTTAATTTTATTTTTTAAAATTTTATGTTTGAATCTAGTTTTCACAACGTTGCTTATAACCCAAATTGTTCTTAACTTTGCCAAATGCAATGGCTTATTTCATATCCTATTTATCACAAGCAAAATTTAAGCTTCTCTTGCAGAGACGGGAGCATCACTATGAACACAACTCACGCTCCAGGGATGAGGAGTGTGTGCCGCGTCTCTGCCTGGCCAGCAAGCGCTGGGCCTTTCCACCCCACCTCGGACAGCCACGTGAGCCCCCGGGGACCACTCCTCTGTGCCCCATGCCTTGGCACAGGTAGTCTTCTTTGCTTTCAGTTGCCCTGTCCATTCCTCTTGGTGACGTTCCAGTTACCCCACAAAGCCCAGAGGAAATGTCCCTTCCTTTGAGGGTTTTTCTGGCCCCATCTCTCCTTCTCTGTCCCCCCAACCCCGGTGGAATCCCCTGGCCTCTCCAGAGAGCAGCAGCACCTGTGTTCCCCGTGACTGGGGTATCTATTTTTGTAGGTGCTTACACCGTTTCTTCTTCTTAAGCTGACAGGCAATTTATTTCATCATAATCCCTATTTTACACCAAGTCTAAGACTGCAGGCACTAGGATAATGATGGCAACAGTTTCCAGGATACCCAGCACCTCTCTGGGGGTGCACAGCTGGGTTCTACGCACCGCGGCAGTCAGCGCCCTCCCGCACCAGCAAGGATCTAAGCAGACTGCACTGCGACCGCCTAGGACGTGAAGCACTTTGCCCAAACTCAGTACTCTAAGTTCAGACGACGTCTCGATTCTGTGTATATTCTGGGTTAAATATACTCTAAACATCAACAAAACGTAAAAAGCCCAAATAGCTCACCTTTGGATTCCATTCGATTTCATTGTCAGCAGGTTTCACCCGACAAACGATGAACTCCACCGCCTGCGGGGGGAGAGTGCGGAAATTTTCCGGGAGATGCAGCAGTTGGTCTCTTGCGACGAGTCCAGTCCTGCCTTCGTCTATGAACTTTACGAGGACGTTGTCCAGGGCCCAGGTGTCTTCTTTTTGGTTCACCTCTAGCACCTGCACCCTGGAGAACAGCGGCGGCGTCACTTTAACACAGGGATTCCAAAAAGGGAATACCCTCTGCCTCGAGTTACCATTAAATGCAAAACACACAGACAGACTCAACTGCGTGGTTCTACTCCACACTGGAAATCAAAACTCAAGGCCTTCAAAAGCCCTTAGCGGTGGATTAGAGTATACATAAGTATAAAAACACAGTACTTTTGAATACTAAGTATACAATATAACTTAGAGATTTATACATGAATAAATCTCTTTCTCTGACAACGTAATAAAAATTAACATAGCAAATTAAAGTTTCAAAGTTTCTAAATCAAGGCTGTCACCAAGCAGCGCCAGGTGGACCCAAGGGAGGTGGGTGTGAACAAGCACGTGAGTCAGGCTGACGGGCTGGAGCGCTGACTGTGCCACTTATTGAGCTGACCTTGGACGATCTACATAACATCACTAAGGCTCAGTTTGTTCATCTGTAAAATGGGAATGATGCCCATTTTATAGGAAGTTGGCAAGAATTAAGGAAGTTAAAGATGTATGTACATGTCACACACAGTGACGGCTCAATACATGTCTGCAGTGACACTGTCACTGTACTCCACTCAGGAGCCTGGGGTGCAGCTTCATGTGTGGAACTGTGCCGGGCACGGGGAGGACCACCAGCCTCCCGGGAGGCAGCCAGGCTCACGTGCGTCTCTTCAGTCGAGTGCGCAGAGGTGAAAACAGGAATTCAACACCGTTTAAGGTTACCTCATGCTTCGCAACTTTACAGATGAATTAAACAGATACTTACCTGTGAAAAAGTGTTTTTTCTGCTAATCCATACAATCCAAATTTCTCCACCTTCTCAACAGCTGTTTCATTACTGGAATCCTTAAAATACTCATTCATTTCAGCACTAAGAGTTGCATAAAGATCCACATGTTTATCAATTATACGACCAAAGTAATTTGTTGCATTCAAAATATAAAAAGGTATTACCTGAAACATAGACAGTAAACATATCCAGAAAACAAACAATCTAAGCCAAAGATATGCACACTCCCTGGACCTGCAGAAATCAGCACCTAACTTAAAGGGCCCAAAGTGTACAACCAGGAGTTTAAAAATGAACTAGAAAACTGGCCAAAAACCAAAACAAATACCTTACCATATTCACAAATAATTATAGTTTCACTTTAAATCGAATGAACAATTTTGTTCGCAAATTTCATTATTTTAAAACTTCATTATTAGGTATAAGCGTTCCTTTCTTTGCTTTTATAAAAATCTACACTTTTATAAAAATTCTTCTTAAAATAGCACTGCTGTCTCTTTAGCCTCTTCTGATCTTTTTTCACGTAACAAGAAGCGTTTTGTTAAGAGCCTACTGTATGCCACCAGCCACCAGAGATGCAGAGATGAAAGCGTGTCCTACAAGGACCTGAGCGACCCAGGAGAGGACAGACATGCCACAGCTCATGTGCGCTCAGGAAGAAAGCCTCCGCAGGCCGGGCACGCAGGGCTATCGGTGCGCGAGGGGGAACGGCAGCGTGCAGGGAGCAGAAACGACCTGCGCGGAGCAGGGAGCCCTGGCTGCCGAGCAGATGCCAGGAGTGCCAAGCAGTCACCTAGGGGCCGGGGCGAGGACCGTGCTGACAAGGGCGGCATGGAACCAGGGTCTGTGCGGGATGAGGCAGAGGGAAGCACAAGAGCCTCTGACAGACCCACGGCAGAGGCCCCCAAAGAGGCAACGGCTATTCACTGGAAACACACCGGCCCACGTGACCAGAGCAGCCAAATTGAAGGCGTCCCCGTCTCCAACAGTGGGTGGAGCTAGAGCCCGATGAGACCTGCAAACTGTCCCACCAGGGACAAGAGGGATGAAGGAAGAGAAGGGCCAGGCAAGAGTGGGGAGGGCAACAGAGCCCAGTCATTTGACACTATGCTACCCTATTTTTTTATTTGAAAGTGTTATGGGGGTACAAACGTTTTTGGTTACATGGATCGCTTTCGCAGTGCTCGGGTCAGGGTTACAAGTGTGCCCATCACCCACAGTGTTCGTTGTACCCGTTACCTATTTATTTTTTACACAACCCATCAACAAGAGAAATGGAACTCTGTGAAATCAGAGAAGTTACCCTGACCCCTATCTCCTTCTAAAACTTAAGGAAATCAAATTTTATCTAACAATAACCAATAGCAAAAGTATTAAGGTAAAATCCCATATTAAGTCAGAATAAAATAACAAAGTAAACAATAAGGTATATAACATAGAAACTAAAATATAATAAAATAAGAAGAGAAGAACAAGGAGCAGAGTGACAGTCCCTACAGACAAGAAAGCCAGCCGCCAAGAGGATCCACAGGACGGCTCAAAACTGTAACCTTCAATTTCAGAGCAAGTGGCTTTTAGCTTGTTAATTAAGAAAATGATACATGCATAAAAGAATAATATAAATCGAAATTAGGAAAACTTAGAAATGAGCTGACAGAACTCGGGAAAGAATTAGAAATTAAAGAAAAAAATTATTTCAATAATGCAAACTGCAGTGGGTTGAATATAGCTCCCACAAAACACAGCCATGTTCTAATTCCCAGCATCACCGTGACCGTGAGCTGAGGTGCAGGAAGGGTCTTTGCAGACGTAACTCAGTACCCCAGAGGAGGCAGCCTCCGCCCTACAGCAAGTGTCCTTCACCAGGGACGGAGAGGAGGAGAAAGCGCCGTGAGGACACAGGCAGGGCTCAGACTGATGCGTGGCGAGCTGGGACCACCGTGGAATCCCTGGAGCCGACGCCAGCGGGCAGAGGCAGGACTGGACCGTGCCTAGGGGCTCACGGGGGCACGGCCTGCTGACACTGCTCCCCCACTCTGGCCTCCAGAACCACGAGAGGACAAATTTGTGTTAAGTTTCTAAGTCACCAACCGTGGTAACTGTTACAGCAGCCCTCGGAAACTACCATCACAGAACGTGCCTTAAGGGAAAGAGGTGAAAAGGAGAAAAATTTTATACTCGAAAAGAAATGAATAAGTTATTAAAAAGGATTTGAAAGAAAATAAACTCTTGACTCGGCAATTCTATCTGCATCTTAGAATCTTCCTCTAAGGAATAATCACGGATGTCTGCAAAAGATTCACGTAATCACGGCATTATTTTTAATAGCCCCCAAATGGACACAATTTTTTCTGAAGAAAATCCCGAAACTGTCATCCATTTACCCAATTTGATCTTGGTTTTGTAAATAAACTGGGGCCCTGAAATAAGGCACCTTGCGAGGCACCTGTGGTCAGATCAGCGGCGGTACGTTAACATGGACCGCTAGAGCCATGATTCTGCTCTACTAAGGTGCTGCTGCTTAACAACAACAAACACGTTCATTAAAACGACCGTTAATCATCAGACAAAAGGATCCTGAACAGAACTTACTTTAATGTACCCAAACATCGGTAGAGTTTGGGTGGATAATTTCCTTGGCATGTCCATTTCTGGATTAATATGGTGTCGGTCAGGACAGATTCTTTTGTCTCTGGGAAAAAAAAAAAAAAACACCTAGGTTTTAAAACCAGAAAAAAAAGTGTTAACAGATTTTTAAGCATTTGTCAAAAAATTAATCTGCAACTTAAATCAGAGAACTTTTATTCCAAGTACCCTAAAAGTTAAGTAACCATATTAAATACTTCAGATGCCACTAACAATATGTAAGTAAGCGGAATAGGGTTCTTAAAATTTAATTAACACTAAATAAACTTAGAGTTACTTCATATTTCTCTTGACAGTCTTAAATGTATTATGTAAACAAACAAAATATACTTCCAAAATCAAAAGCCTGAATCAGAAACACAACACCATAACCCACAGGAAAGGCCAATTATCCTCTAAACCAGAAGCCATTCCTTAACTACACAGCTATTTCCGAAGCGAGAAATAGTTGAAGTTGCAGTTTTAAAAGCCAATATTCTATTTAAAGGCATAAAGAGAAATGCTAACAACATGTTTAATGTACTATAATTCAAAAACGTTCATGTCAACAGTTATCTTAAAATTAAATTCAGTCCAGTAGATATGTATCAGACTCTTACGCCCCAGCCATCCGCGTATCCAGTAGTGGCATCAAGTCTCGGGCATGTGAGGGACCCTTGTGACTGTCAAGCTATTCATGCTCTCCAAATTTTTAAAAAAAAATTTTAAAGTTATTTTTTATAGATGGGGTCTTGCTATGTTGCCCAGGTTGGCTTTGAACTCCTGGGATCAAGTTGATTATCCCACCTCAGCCTCCCAAGTAGTCAGGACTATAGACATGTGCCACCACGCTGGACCGTGCTCTGTGAATTGACATATAGAACCAATGTAGTCCCCATCAAAATTCTAGCAGGGTTTTGGAAGAAAGTGGCAGGCCTGTTCTAAAGCCGGTACAAACACAGACAAATAGACCAACAGAAAGAGCAGAGGCCAGGAATGAACCACATACACCATCACCCGGTTCATGTCAAAGGCACTAATTCACGGGACAGCATGACGACTAAAACATGGTGCTGGAGCAAGTGATTCCCCGCGTGGAAGAGCAAACCTTGCTCTGTGTCTCACACTAAACACATAAATTAATTCAGGATGGATTACAAATCTAAATGTGAAAGCTAAAACTATAAAGCTTCTAGAAGAAAACACAGCAGAATGTCTTCATGACCTTGAGATAGGCCAATATTTCTTACATAAGGACACAAATAACCATAAAATACTTTATCAAAATTAAAAACGTCTGTTCATCAAAAGACTAATGAAAGAGTGAAAAGGCAAGCCACAGACGGAGAAGATATTCTCAATGCATACAACAGACAAAGCACTTATGCCTAGAATATATAAATTACTCCCATGAATGAATAAGAAAAAGATAAACATTCCCATTTTTTTTTCTCTTTTTAAGACAGTCTCGCCCTGTTATCCAGCCTGGAGTGCAGTGGCACGATCAACGGCTCACTTCAACCTCAAACTCCCGGGCTCAAGTGATCCTCCTGCCTTGGCCTCCCAGAGTGCTAGGATTACAGGTGTGAGCCACCGTGCCCAGCCTTACCCCCATTTTTAAAATGGGCCGAAGACCTGAACAGGCGCTTCACAAAAAGAAGATGGCCAAATGACCCACAAGCATACGAAAAGACATGGGACATCATCAGCCATTAGGAAACATGAATTAGAACCACAGTGGTTACACCCTCAGAAATACTGAGTGTTGGCAATGACACGGAACAACTCAAACCCCCTCATACAGTACTGACAGGATCACAAGATGGTCAACCACTTTGGAAGAGTTAAATATACGCCTACTCCACGACCTAGCAGTTCCGCTCCAGAGAACACACCCAAGAGAAATGGGTGCGTATTTCCACAAAAAGACACACACAAGAGTGTTCATGGCAGCTTCATACACAGTAGCCCCAAACCGGAAACAACCCACAGGCCCGTCCACAGGAGAATGGAAACACATACACTGATATATTCATACAACAGAACATGGAGTCGCAAAATAAATAAAATACGACACACGCAACACAGATGAGCGTCACAGACATCACGTTGAGAGGAAGAAGCAGACACTAAAGAGTACATACTACAATTCCATTTATGTGGAGCTCGAAACCCAGCAGCTTTCTAGAGGGTGGTCCCTTCCGGGGGAGGCCTGTCGGTAAGAGCGAGGGGGGATGTCTGGGGTGCTCTCTCAGGGCCGAATGGTAGTTCACACGGGTACGTAGCAATTCATCAAGCTGTAAACTTATCATCTGCGCACCGTACCACATGTTATTCCTTGATTTTTTTTTAAAAAGGAACACTGGCTTACTTGCAAAATCCAAAAGCCTTAAGATATGGACAAAGAGGCCTTGTGGCTTTCTTGTCTTCTTTGGCTTCCAGAACCCCCGCGGTAAACTCATACAGCTCAGCTGGGACCTTGGCATCTGCTCGCTCCAGGTAGCGCAGGATGCCGACTGCATGGCTTGCGTTTCTCTCCGTCAGCAGCAAGACAGATTTGGTTTTTTTATCTCCCTGTTCTGCAGGAGAACCCTTAAAACCAGAAGTGAAGAGAGGAGTGGATCACCCATACTGGTCTAAATGAGGAAGCCGTACGGACTCTGAATTCATCGTTACGCAGAAAACACCAGTGGAATATTGACGATAAAGTAATCAAACCTGTTCAGCTAAACGCAGAAAATGATCTGACATGCAATACAGCCGTCCACCAAAAATTTTTGGAGAGGAAGGGAAGCTGAAGTGAACCACACACGTGGCATCGGTGATGGCCAAGAGCGGCGCACAGTCGTCGGTCAGGGCTGGAAAAGAGCATTCCGACAATTTCGCGTGAGCTGGAGTCCGCTGCCCTCGCTTCGGTGAGCAGTGCCAGCAGCCACACGGCAGTACGTTTCTATACGGAATTTTATTTTAGATGCAAAGAGACTTCTCATTTTTTTCCAAAAATGCCACGGCCCAGTACGTAAATTCCAGAGAAAGGTGGTCTCCCTTTTAGCTTGAAAAATGCTTCTTCCTATTATAAATCCAGACTAACCATATATTTTTCACTTATTTTACACATTTTGACTTTTATGTTTCTAATATTACACGTAGCAATCACTTATGACAATGTTTCACGTAGGCATATGAATACGTATGCCTACACATACATGACAGAGATGCTCAAGCTAGAGTTCCAGAAGACTGTCTGGACTAAGGGTTGCTACCTACTGACCCAAGAGCCTGGGGGCACCCAGATCCACCTTAACACCAAAATCTTAGTGGAACTTAATTTTCATTTTAAAATTAATATGACTAATAAATTCTCGGTAAATCCGGAAATGAGAGATCCGTAGGTGAGATATATAAGTGAGGACATGATTCCTAATAGCTCAGCCTTTATTAAATGTAAATAGAAATTAAAACACTTACCTAATACAATGTGAGAGCCAGAACTTAACTTCTTCCACTGTTCTAAAACGCTGTTTAAGTTAAAAACCACTTCTTTATGCATTTTCAAGCAAAATATTGAATTGCTTTCTACTACCTAGAGACGAAACCAAAGAGGCCAGTTCACAGTGAGGAACATAAGCTCGAAGCCAACTGTTCTGTCAGCAATTATCGATGTAAACCACTTTAAATTTCCTGTGAGGGCATTCCCTCTCTGATCTGGTAATTCTTGAGAATGAGAGACTGTAAAAAAATAAATATACTTCCAAAATTCTGCAGTTTGTATCTCAAAACTTGCTCAAGTGAAACATTTTGCTAAAACTATTTTCCTTCCTTTTTAAATAACACATACATACTTGAATATGTGTATGTGTGGCTAAACACATACGTCAGATTTATGGTACTATTGTCGACAATGGCTTTTTAACTGTACCTTCCAGCTCGTTACCGCGGAAAGGTGGATGTACTACTATTTATTTTGCATACTACAAAATATGCGTCTACATTTTAGCATTAATGTATATAAAATTAAATTGAATAAATCTGTAGCCAATTTATTTGGCTTTGCTGACCACATGATAACATCTTTTACTGTTATTTTCTCAATCTTCGTAAACAGAGGAAACAGAAGATATTCTCATTTCTTTATGAATCGGATCCTTTTAATGCTCTGCCTAGACAAAATTGGCCAGCCCTGCTCCCCCCGGGGGGCGCGGCTCCCATGGAAAGGCTGGTCCCACGGGCCTGGCCCCTCCCCCAGCACCAGGCCTCTTGCCCCAGTGCCTTGCTGAGCAGAACCCACATCCTCTTGTGACTGATGTTAAACTCATCAAACTGACTTCCCTACCACGTGTTCAACTACTCTAGTAATTTTCTGATGACTCAAGATTCAACCACGGTTTAAACAGTGAGAACATTTTTACATGTGGACGGGCTCACCTTAGACACTATTTCTGTTTCACCTACAGAGCAGGTGAAGATCAAGGTCTTTTGAGCCTGATTTGGGTTGAAATCAAGAGTTTGGAGTAAAGTAGAGGTTTTTTCACATTCTAGGCAAAGGTGCACTATCTGGTAATGAAATACAGAAATAATGTGATTTTTAAGATGTTCAAGGTGCTCCAGTTTCACTTTTCATAGATACGTAATGATTTTAATCGAAAAGAATGTATAGGAAATCAACGTAAATTTAAATATAAAATTACAGATTTTGTATGAAATCAAAGCTGTAGCCATTTAATATTAAGCCATGAAATAAAAGTTACTTGCTGTATTCATCAGCCCGCCACATCCCAACACACACACGTCCTCGGTACCTGCTGGACGCTGCCATAGAGGGCAGCCTCCTCCATGGCTGTGATCACAATGTAGGGGTCATTCATGAACTCTTTGATTAAATGTTCTATGTGTTTGCTCCAGTGAACGCCAACTGCAACAATCTGATGTGGGGCAGATTCCCTTTCTTCAACTTCAGTATTTTTTTTAAAGTTATCTAATATAGCAAACATCTAAAAAATTAGTACAATTAATTTTATTTGTATTTCAAAAGAAAGTAAGAATTTAGTGTGACAGAACATAAACTGCAATTGTTTATTTTCTATTATATATTTTGTTATATATATTGTGCATATATAGTATACATTCTGTTATATATATTGTATGTTTTCTGTTTTTATTCTCTAAAAATAAAAGGAAAGCAAAAAACTAAAAAGGAGAAAATGTTAAGTTTAAAGCCAATAAACATCCTATAAACTCCATCATAAACGAAATTAAAGCACAAGCATCATCTTGGCAAATATGTGTAACACAACTAACAAGGGATTAACATGTTTGCATAAAAATTTCTAAAAGCTGATTAGAAAAAGATGATCCCACCAACAGAAAGAAAAGGAAATGAACAAGCAACTCATAGAAGAATGGATACAAACGATCACTATGAACTGTTCAATGTGGCAAGCAATCAAGGGCTACAAATTAAGCTCATGAGCTCCCACTCCTGACCAGTCAGACTACAGGAGAAGGCCAGGCCGAAGCTGCTACTGCCAGGAGTGCGGGGAGCGTGCCGTGCGGGCGTGCTGCTGACGGACTGTACATTGGTCTGTGCTTCCAGAAAGGCAACCGCACGATGCAGCGTACCCGGATATCATTTTGCAAATAAGAACCGAGACTCTAGAGGAGTTCGGGAACCACGCGCGGCCCCACACCGCAGCCCCACACCGTCAGTAACAACGCTTGGACTTGACCCTGGGGCCGTAGTCACTCCCAAACGAATGATCTCGGCCGTCATGTTACACTGCTTCCAACAAATGCCTCACGAGAACTCGCAGTCTTTGATCCACGAACTCCCTTCCTAGGAATTTATCTTAAGGGAAACGGTGCAAAAAAGATGCATGTTCTTTAGCCACACACATACCCAAATTATGTTAAATATCCAAAAAACGAGACAGCTGTAAAATAAATCGTGTCATTCCCACACGATCAACACCACACGGCCAGCAGCAATCGTCCTGCAGAGCAGGCGGCAGCGGCACTCGCAGCCCGAGTCACAGAGCGGCACGCGCCACACGCTCTGGGCGAGGTCCGTCACACGCATCCGCACACAGGATTTTTAGAAAAAGAAGGACATACTCTACAACAGTGGAGTGGTTGCCTCTGAGAGCGCGACTGTGGATGGTGGGTTTTTTCAAGTGCTCTTCTCTATGTCTCAATGTTTTAAAAATCAAAACTATTGCTTCCATAATCAGAATAATAGTAATGAAATGGTTCAGAAAATCTCCCTGGGAAAGAATTTTTGCTCTTTAGAAAGAACTTCAACACAGGGAAAGAAATTTCAGATAAACATTTTCTCTATTATAGAAATCAAAGGGAAAATTAATTTTTTTAGATTAACCAGTTTATTTCCCAACCAGACACCTCCTGACTCTGTAATTGCGCGTGTTCTGAGAGCAGTGACGCCCGGAGGGGTGCTGTGCTTACTTGTTCCTTCGCCTCCAAGAACAGGACTCCCACCTCATCCAGAATCAGGTGGCAGAGCCTGAGGAACAACAGGCTCTGATGGGTGAGAAGTCTCAGCAGGCTGTGCGGTGTTGTCACGATCACATCACCTACGTTTCAAAAGAAAAAAACAGACATTTTGGATTTTCCACAAGGCTTTTCCAGCATTCCCTTTGCTAAGAGTCCACACACTTCCCGGAAGTGCCTTCTAACTACAGCGAAAGCTGCACTCAGGAGAGTGAGGCGAGGCTCCTACCGGGACAGCCCTGTGTGACCCGACTGAACACACGCCTGGGCTGTGCCAGGCTCCGCGCTCACGGAAGGCGGGGCTTTCGGTCAACACCGTGTGCCCAGGGCCCGACGACAGGAGCTCAGTGAACGGTCAAAAAACGAATGAAACCGCAAAGCTTTTTCAGTGAAACAGACGCAGGTCAAGATCAAACCTTCATACTTGATACTCGTCAGTAACTGACGTGCGAGGTCTGAACTGGTGACCATCAGCGGCATCGTCACCCAGCCACGTCACCTGTGGGTCCCAGGCCTGCCTGGGCAGGGTCCACTGTCTTCTGCAGGAAAAACCAAACACCTCGGAAAGGATGCTTACACCCCCTCGGAAGCTTCATGTTTTTCGCTTCATCTTTGTGGAGTCCGATTGTTAATAACACAGGATGAAGAGGCCGGGAGGACACGGTATAGTCTTCCAATAATTCAGAAATAAACTGGGCCTTTTTCCATCCAGGGCACACAATGACTGCAAGAGGCTGCAAAGACAAACAAATTCAAAAACTTCTGGACAATAGTTAGGAATTAAACACACTATACGGGAAACATCCAGAACATCTCCTTGTAGAGAATAAGCATACGTTTTTTCCTATCATCATCATCGAGGTCAGAAAAGTTAAAATATAATTTCATTAACATGGATTTGGACACATTGAATCAGATTTTCCTAGGGTATAACTCACTCAGTCCTTCAAGCACTCTTATGGGGTAGGGCCCATCATTACTTCATTTCACAGATGAGGAGTCTGAGGCACAGAGGGGGGAAGTCAGATGCTCAAGGCTGCACAGCAAAACGTGGTAGCAACAGGATTTGAACCCAGGCGTCTGGCTCCACATCCCCTGCTCCTAAGCACCATGTACGGGGAATGTAAATTTCTAAAGAGAAATCATTAAACTGCATGGTGTAATTAGAAAAACAAACGAGCATCTTTTCTAACTGCAACTCTGTTTTCTTGCTGCTATTTGTGGCCACGTGCTGAGTGGCAGAACTGTCTGTAGTGCATCCTGCGAGCCAGTGTCCGAGATGGAGGTTTCACGTCCATCAGTCCCCCAGCAGCCAACGCCCAGCAAAGCAGACGGCACTGCCCACCACCGACCCTCACGCCCCCTTTCTCTCCTTGCCATCCCCTCTCTCGGTCATTTCCAGATTCTCACCCATGATCAAAGTTAAGAAGGATCATAAAACAGTGTAGGGTGCTGTGAAATAGTTCAAAGAACACGGGACAAAGCAGCAGAAACCGAAATTCTAATCCCACTTCTACCACTCGCCAGCTATTAGGGATTCATCCCAGTAACTTTCCCTGAGCTTAATTTTCTCATCTACAAAATGGTGAAAACGATACACGGCCGGATCATCTCACGTGGCTGCTGTGACAGATAAATTAATGTCAGTGAAATCATTTAAAAGCCAAATATTCATCTCTAAAAGCTTCAGCCAACAGCCCACAGCTGGAGCTCAAGGTGAGCATCGCTGTGCGAGGAGAGAGAGGAACTTCCTCACAGGATGGTTTCTGTGCTGGCAGTTTGAAAACCAAGTTGTGTGACGTCAGGCACACAATTTAAAAATAAATATTTAACCCATTTTGTTCAGAAACCAAACTGTCTTCAACTTACTCCGTTTCTGCTCGGCAGGGACTTGTAGCAGCCGCCCGTCTGCAGAACGGTGAGCACTGGCGGAAGGTACAGCAGAGGGTCGTGTCCACAGTGAGAAATGACAACCACGTCACAGCCTCGCGCTATGGGAGGCCAGGAGTAAGACTCCGTGTGGCTGGGTCCCGGAAATTTCTTTCTTTGAAGAGCCTACAAAACATCAACAACCAAAAGCTGTGATAAAGTAGAGAAAACTAACAAAAACCCCGCCTCGTTGCTCACTTTACTCCAACCACCACTACGCATCGCCCAACCTGGCATTTTCCAGGACCTAACTTGCTAAGTTCCCCGAGTCTTTAACAGGATACCAAACTCCTCTTAAAAGACTCTCGCTTCTACGGGTCCCAGAGTGAAAGGAGCCAATAGGTGGTCCATGATCAGGAGCTAAAAGCTCAGTGGAATCAGAATGTGGTTTCTTCTCCTTACTCTCCTAATACTCTGCCAGTTTATTAGCTCCACTTGCAAAGCTTTTTAGAAACACACTTTTATTTGCTGATTTTTCGATGTAACTGTCACTAAGGCCTGAGTGTTCCCACAGAGCTTTCCGGCCACACAGGCACTGCCTTCCAAAAGGCCGAGTTCGGCAGCACTGCCGCCTGCAGGAGGTCCTCTTCCCACATCCTCGAGGCCCAGTACTCTCTGCACCTGGGATCCAGCTGTTCTCCTGGGACCGTCCCTGCCATCACCCTTCTGTTTGCAACCCACATGGTCTACTTCTTTGTTTTGGTGGAGAACATATTTCAATAGCTTCGTGACAAAGGGCACAGAGAATAAATTTTTTGAGACGTTACGTGTCTGAAAATACCTTCATTCTACCCTGACACTTCATTGATAATTTGAGTTTGGACCTCTAGGTTGGAACTAACTTTTTTGTTGTTGTTGTTGTTGTTGAGATAGAGTCTCACTGTGTCGCCCTGGGTAAAGTGCAGTGACATCATCACAGCTCACTGCAACCTCAAACTTCCGGACTCAGGTGATCCTCCTGCCTCAGCCTCCCAAGTAGCTGGGACTACAGAACCATACTGCTGCACCTGGCTAATTTTTTTATTTTTAGTAGACACGGGGTCTCCCTCTTGCTCAGGCTAGTCTTGAACTCCTGAGCTCAAACGATCCTCCTGCCTCAGCCTCCCGGAGTGGTAGGATTACAGGGGTGAGCCACCGCGCCCAGCTGGAAATAACTTTCCGTCAAAATTTTGTAGTCAATGCTCCTCTCTCTGGTGCACTGTGGAGAAGTCTGAAGCCATTCTGATTCCTGGTCCTGTGTGTACGACCATTTCTTCTTTCTAGAAGCTCTCACGGTCTCTGATTCCCTCAAGTTTAGATGCTCCACAACAATGAATCCAATATCTTTATTCATCAGTTGTGCTGGGCCTGTGTAGTAGGCAGACTCTGTTAATTTGGAGATTCGTGTCCACTAGGTCCAGGAAATACTCCTGCATTAACTCTCAAGAATTTTCTCCTTTCCTTCTGGGTGCATACAAGGACATCCAGGAACTACGGAGGAAGCAGCAGTCTGATGTCATGCGCTTTCATCTGAGGGTCCGCTGCTGGCAATAGCGCCAGCTCTCTCTGCTCCACAGGGGTACCTGCCCCACCTGGCCGGGACAAGGCCAAGCAAGGTCATGCCACATACAGGATCCGTGTGCACCACGGTGGCCGTAAACGCCCAGTTCCTAAGGGTGCAACCCATGGCGAGCTTGTCCATCGTGGTGTTAACCAGCTGAAGTTTGCGCGACGCCTTCAGCCTGTTGCCGAGGAGCGAGCTGGACACCACTGTGGGCTCTAACAGTCCTGAATTATTACTGGGTTGATGAAGATTCCACATAACGTTTTTTGAGGTTATCCTCATCGATCCATTCCATAAAGCTGTCAGAAGAAATCCTGACACCTGGTGGATCGCCAGACCGTCCACAAGCACGGGGAGATGCACAGGCTGACATCCGCAGGCCGAGAGAGCCTTGGAAAGGGCCGTGAGTTCCGCCACCTGTCGGTTCCTGCCCCGTGCAGCTTGGAGAAGGCACAGTACTCTCCAGCTCCACCGCTACTGCTAACGTAAGTGATGTTTGCAAAATGCAAACCTAATAAATGATCTAGGATGGTCAAAAAAAAAAAAAAAAAGAAAAGAATTTCTGCCCTCTCCATTCTTTCTAGAAATCCCATTTTCAGATACTGGACCTCAAACCGACCCTCAATTTTTTTCTCTTATTTCCATCTCTTTGCCTTTTTTTCTATAGAATTCTAATAGTTAGCTTCTATATCTCAGACCTACTAGTGATTTTTAAAAATTTCTATATTTTAAATTTCCAAGAACCCTTTTTATTCTGATTATTCCTGTTTTATAGCCCCCTGTTACTGTTAAATGGATGCAACGTCTTCTCTGAGAATATGTATTCTTCAACATTTTCTCCTACTCCCTGCATTGTTTGCTTCCTCCAGAGTCTGTTTGTGTTTTTCAAGGTAAAGTCTTTCTTCCAATGTCCACGATCCCTGACGTCTGGTCGTACTGAACAGGGAGACACAAAAACCTGACTAGAAGCTCTGTTGGCACCGCGAATCCCGTCACCAAGTGACTGTCACCCACTGTAGGGAGGCAGAGCAGCAAGCAGGCGCTTTTGGGGAGAATTCCAAATAGCATCATCTAAAGGTCATGGCCATTCAGTTTCTCCAAAAAGAGCCTCCAACCTCCTTCCTGTGAAGAATACAAACAGGCTGCGGGTGTCCGGGAAACAGGGCAGGAGGCTCACGGCCCCGTTGCCTCACTCCTCGCTGCCGTCAGCCACACTCGGCCACCTGCTCTCCACCCTCTAAAGGCCTGGGGAAACCACCAAAGACTTCTCTTTCATTCTATTCATCCTCGCAGTTTTACCTTTTCAAACTTTTTTTAAGTCAGGAAGGAAGTAGATAAACATGTATGATCCATGTGCCAAATGAAACCACAGGTCTATAAAGCGATTTGGAAAAGAATGGCTGGGAAGTGTATTACAATTGCCCAGGTGACTTGTTGCCCCCCCCCTTTTTTTTTTGAGACAGAGTCTCACTCTTTTTGCCCAGGCTAGAGTGAGTGCCGTGGCGTCAGCCTAGCTCACAGCAACCTCAAACTCCTGGGCTCAAGCGATCCTACTGCCTCAGCCTCCCAAGTAGCTGGGACTACAGGCATGCGCTACCATGCCCGGCTAATTTTTTTCTATGTATTTTTAGTTGTCCGATTAATTTCTTTCTATTTTTAGTAGAGACGGAGTCTCGCTCTTGCTCAGGCTAGTTTTGAACTCCTGAGCTCAAACAATCCGCCCGCCTCGGCCTCCCAGAATGGTAGGATTACAGGCGTGAGCCACCGCGCCCGGCCTTGTTGCCCCTTTTAAGCCCCTTTCCAGAGCCACATTTGAAAACTTATCTCAGAAGAGGATTTATGGCTATTCAATGGCTTCTCCACAAAAGAATTATTCACTTATAAGAAGTTAATCTGGACGTAAGAATGAGAAATCGGTACCAAAAGCTTAAAAGAGAATTTCAAAGGCAAAGAAATGCAACCTTAGAAATGCTTGTTAACAAAATCCCTCTGTGTTAGAAAAGGCTGGTATTTCTCCGCGAGTCTGGGTTTAAGGGCACGTTCACCTTTTTCAAGTCTGCCGAGAGCGGCGCCGTGTCAACGGTGAGGCAGGGCTCGACCCGGTTCCGGAGCACCACAACGGGAGGCTGCGCGCCCGACTGCAGCTTCCGCAGCTGAGTGTGTCAAGTAGACAGTGAGGTATTAGCACAGAATATCGAGAACTTTACGAAAATGAAGAAAACAGATTTCAATGTAAAACCCTGGGTAAATACGCTCATTAAAAAAAAAACACCTAAACTACCCAAATGAAAGGAAGATCATCTATTAATATTACTCAAATAAAAAAAGAGCAATTTCTCTGGAGCAATCCACTAGGTAACTTCTAAAAGGATGTCTGTAGGTAAAGTCCCCATCTGAGAGATTTCTCTTCTAATCTCAAGACTGGAGGGAGGAAGGAGAAGAATTTTTTTTTTTTAAAGAGATGGGGTCTTGCTCTTTCACCCAGACTGCAGCCTGGAACTCCTGGGCTCAAGCGATCCTCCCACCTCAGCCTCCCTAGCACTGGGACTGCAGGCGCACACCGCCACGCTCAACTAAGAAAGGAGAAGAATTTAAAGAATAAATCGTTTTCTCTCTTTTTTCACTTTTTTAGGGCTTGTGATACCTGCTGCAGGTCAGAGATGCCATCAGCTCTCAAAGGATCAGGATTTAAAAACTGCAGTAATCTGTAAAATAGTTAAAAACAATTTGAAGAAACAAGTGTTTACATTTCCTCAACTGAGCTATTGTTTAACTCTTCCTTGACAGAAGTAAAATGGACTAAATAGCCCAAGGCACAGCGGTACGACGGCTGCTCGTTCCATTCCGCTGGGTCACACGAAGATACAAGGGCCGCGGTGCCTCCCGGCCGGGCCAGGCCTGTACCTGTGCTGTGTCCACCCTGCAGTCCAGGCCCCTCTGAGAGCGCCCGAGACGGGCCCAGCCAAGCTCAGGATCCACTGCTCTACTTCACTGTCTTTGTTCTATGGATAAGAAAACAAGACCAGACAGGACTGGTCCACCGCGACCTCTGCTAACTGAGAGGAAAAACCTGAAACTGCTTCCTCTATACCAGCCCCAGCTGCAGTATGGGCAAGGACAGTGACGGTGGCAAAACTCGCGAACCACACAGGTGGTGGGGACTTCAGGGTAAAGAGGGCGGATTAAATACACACATCAAATTGCGCCTTCCCAAAACCCCATTCCTGTGTGTGGGTTTTTAAACGCAAAAGTCCCAAGACCCAAATGCCATCGACCAACGAATGGGTAAATCAAATGTGCTCTATCCATGCCATGGAGCAGTGTTCAGCCATAAAAAAGAACGAAGTCCTTACTTGTGCTACAACAGAGATGAATTCTGAAAACATTACACTAAGTGAACAAAGCCAGTCGCAAAGGACCACATACTCTTATGACTCTATTTATACATGACATCCAAACCTGGCAAATCCACAGAGGCAGAGGAGGAGAGGGGAAATCGAAGAGTGACCGCTAACTGACACGGGGGCGATGAAACTGTTCAGAAATGAGACAATGGGGATGGTCGCGAACTCTGTGGATATACTAAAAACCACTGCATTGTATGTTTGAAAAGGGTAAATTTCATGGTCCATGAATTTGGTCTCAATAAAGCTATTTTTTTAAAAGCCGCAACGAAGGCAAGAACCACAGAGTAGACAACATTCCAAAACAAAATTTCAGAAGCCAGAAAACAGATGGGCAGGTGGTCACGGACTCCACAGACCCGAGACAGCTGAACTGACCCAGCCACGGGAGGCCCCGCTCTCATCTTCAGAACACGCAGGGATCAGGACCAGGCTCCTCTGGCTGGGGCAGAGCAGCAGGAAGCCAAGATAAAGGGGGAAGCTCTGGGTCGTCTTGCACGTCTCAACACCAGACAGCTACCCACGCCCACCCTGGGAAGACCAGGGCGTGACTCTCCGGAGAGGCCGAAACAAGACTCTCAGGACTGGGGCACCGGAGACACGGCTGAGAATGGAGGCACCGTACTGAAGAGGAAGGTGCTAAATGACGAGACCCCAGCCGGCTTCTGCCACTCAGCACTGAGCACAGCAGGAGCCTTCCTTGGGAAATCTGACGTCCCAAAGAGAAAAGACCAGGGAGACTGACTGCGAGGGTCCCCCACAGGCAGCTCGCTCCACGGTGAGGCCCGTGGTCAACAAGCCTCCGCACACTCAGAGACCCAGGTGGGCTCACTAGGCCCTGAAGCTAAAACATGAGCAGACAGTCCAGGACCACAGACATCTGAGGAGAGCCTCTAACCTGACGGAGACAAAAAACAAAAGCGGAGTCATGCTAATTGCAAGAAACAGTGTAGGGAGGAAAAAAACTTGCCCCCAAATCATTAGTATCCTTAGAAAAATGAGAGAAAGCATCATATATACGAAACAAGGATAGGACACTATAAGAAAAAGACAACAAAAGGAAAACTCCTCCACCAAGCGCCGAGCACAACAGTGGAACCTCCAGACACCGGGAATGAAGGGAAGATCATGTAGGTATCCAAGAGAGAGAAAGGGAGAAAGGAGTCATACACAGAGAATAAGGAATCAGAATGGAGCGGACTTCTCAACGACAACACTAGAAACTAGAAGATAAAGCAGAAATGCCTTCGAAATCCATACCCAAACTACTGATCGCGTGTGAGGATAGTCTAAAAGCATTTATGCAAAGTCTCTAAAAATTTTGTGTTTCGTGTTTCCCTTCTCAGGAAGCTACTGGAGGACGTTCACCACCGAAACAAGGGAGTGAGCCAAGTAAGATGAAGGTAGACTATCCGGAAAAGAGGGCACTGGATTCAAGAAAGTTACAGGATGTTGGGGACGATGAACACAGGGTGATGCATCAGACACAGACCAAAGCAGGATGGAAGGCTCTGGAGAGGTTTCTGAGGACCATGTGAGTGAGAACATTGAGTTTAACTGAGTTCAGACAACAGAGGAGAAGTCTGGAGATCGATCAGTAGAGATGTATAGAAAACTAAGAAAAGAAAGAACACTAGAAGATAATTATTACCTTCAGGTAAACCAAACAGCTCTGCGAGAACAGAGAAGTAACCGTGCCCTATCACTGCACGGCTCCACAGCTTGAGGGCTCTTATCTGCTCTGAGCCCCTGTACACGGCAAACTCTCATCTCACCAGGATCACGATGCAGAGGGTAGGATCGTGGGAGGAACAAGAGCGTCGGTGTGACTTCAAGAGGGAAGGGGGGTGGTACCACAGGGCTGAGTCCTCACCGTCCACCACGTGGGCTGGCCGAGGCTCTGGTCAGGAAGGGTTCAACAGCCTGTGTCACTTCAGCCTTTAACAAGCACTGCTGTTCAAACTCTGATATCGAAGCAATATTATCAAGAATACAGAAAATTTCTATCTTAACTAAATGGATGGCACAAAGCAGGCAAATGTTAAAATGTTTAAAGGAAGACAAATGAAGAACAAAGAGTGTGTATCACAGGAGGCACGAGGTGCAGGAAAGATAGAAAGGCAAAGAATTGTCAAGAAAGCTACGGGGTTACGTCATACATCAAAGATGACAAATGAGTGGCAAGCAGGCCACCACCCCGTTCCCCTGCACCCAGAACCTCTTTTTTTTTTTTAGACACAGGCTCTTGCTCTGTCACCCAGGCTGGAGGGCAATAGTGCGATCACAGCTCACTGTAACCTTGAACTCCTGGGCTCAGGCAATCCTCCCGCCTAGGCCTCGCAGAGTGCTGGGATTACAGGCATGAGCCACCGCACCTGGCATACGATATCTTAATCAATCATAAAAATACTCTCCCTAGTGCTCCTGGTTGCAGTGTCAAAATTCTCTCTGAAATAATGCTGCAGGGGCCTGGGCAGCACAGTGAGACTCCACCTCTACAACAAAGAAACGAGCCAGGCGTGGTGGCGCACGCTTGTAGTCCCAGCTACTCAGGAGGCTGAGGTGGGAGGATCGCTTGAACCCAGGAGTTTGGGGCTGCAGTGAGCTACGGTCGCGCCAGTGCACTGCAGCCTGGGTGACAGAGCGAGACCCTATCTAAAATCCATCAATCAGTCATGCTCAGGGAGTCACTACCAACCAACCAGAGTTGAGTTTCATCTGCGACCCCCAGCATACACCCCAGGGCAGCTGATGAAGTTGGCGACAGGTTGGACATTATATCTCAGACCCAACCTAAGCTGCCTAGTCATCTCCAGAAGCTCTAAGTGAACAGAGCAGTTTCTCTTGGATGCCCAAAACCACCGAAGAGAAATCGGCCACCTGGGCCCTCGACCTCTGGATGTGGACCCTGACGCGCTCCCCCCCACCCGAGGATCTGGGATTCCAAAGGAGAGGGTGGTGTGAGCTCCTGGCGTGGGAAAGACCGCATCTGGGGGACCTCTTACTCAACTTACTGTAATTTCGGGGTTTCCAAATGGGTTACATGAAAGAACAGGTCTAAGGAAAAAGAAACAGAACCGCTTGCTGGAATTTACAAACTCAAGCAATGCTATCAGTGCAAGAAGCAGGCAAGAAAACGACAGGCTTCAAACAGAGGAGATTAAGCAGGGTTTCTGGCAACATGCCACGGTCACTGTGTGCCCTTTTCTAACGGTGCCATTATTATTACCACCACATTTTAAGTCACACGGATGTGACATCTGCAAACCCATGACTGAGCACCCTTGAGGAAAGGGCGTCTTCGCTACTCTGACCAGAGAGGGCGGGCACATGGTTCTGCAGACTTTGGAAACAGCATGGGCAATCCAGGACCGTCAAGGAGAAGGATCACATGATCACCAGCTCATCTTCATGTTTCTAAGAAAACCACTGCCTTCTTTCTTCTTTGCTCTTTAATCTCGAACCACTCCAAGGTTCCCCGGAACCCACGGCGGACTGACAGAGTAACTGACGCACTTGCATCAGGGGTTCTAAAGTAAAGGACACTTAGCAGAACAGGAGACGGGACAGAACTCTCTAATGCAAAAACAAAAGGGCATAGAATATTTCAGGGTTAATTTACCAGCTTGTAATTTAAAATAACAAAAGAGAGGAATGAGCTGCATGAACAATGCAAGCCCTTTTGTTCCACAGGAAATAACCACTGCAAGAGGAAAACCTTCGGGTATTAGGGTGGTGGCCTGCCCTGGGAGGAGAGCGTCAACCAGGTGCACGGACGCCCGTGCCCGGCTCTGGGGGCTCCATGGCAGCCTTTGATGCCTTGGCCCTAGAATACTGCGAGATGCTCCTGAGGGGTAAGAGGTCCTTGTAAGCCATCGGTATGGCCTCTGGGAAGCTGGGCAGCGCGGCCCACACAGCTGCCCGGTCAACGCCCTCCCTCCGAACCCTGGGCCGATCAGTGGATACAATGTGACCCACCCACCTCCCAACTGTCTTAAACTCTATGTTGCTTTGGTGGCTCCAGAGTAGCCACAGTTACTTGGGATGTGAAATTGTTTAGGCTACTATGGTAAAAAGTATCATAAAAATTGGTATGAAAACATTTTATAGATCACACAAGTATAAAATGAAGTTATTACTCTGTTGTTAACAGTTTTTCTAGCAGGTGGTGGACTTATTTAACATCAGAAAAATGGGAAGAAACCAAACACCAACCCATGGAAAATCAACAGCTCCAAAGATCAACTGTATCTTAGTTCTTTTTTTCTTTTTTTGACACAGGGTCTCACTCCATTGCCTGGGCTAGAATGCAGTGGCATCATCACAGCTCATTGCAACCTCAAATTCCTGGGCTCAAGTGATCCTCCTGCCTCAGCCTCCCAAGTAGCTGGGACTACAGGTACGTGCCACTATGCCTGGCTAATTTTTCTTCTTTTGTAGAGATGGGGTCTCCCTCTTGCTCGGGCTGGTCTTGAACTCCTGACCTCAAGTGATCCTCCTGCCTTGGCCTCCCAAAGTGCTAGGATTACAGGCTTGAGCCACCGCACCTGTCCCTCTAATTCATTTTGTAAAATTCACCATGAGAATCAGGAAGAAGAAGCAGAAAACGACTACTGACGCTGGAACAAAGCTTCGAACAGAAAAATCTACCCCAGTGAATGGAAAAGAAAAATCTTACTTCAAAGCCCACAGGAGACTTACTGTGTGTATATCTTTTGATGGGAATACAGGTTTGAAATTAATGCTAAAATATGTAAATTTGTTTTGCTTACAATTTTATTATAATCATTTAAATAAACAATTCAGGCCAAGAAAAAATTCTTACTTCACGCAACCATTCTTCTCATCGTATTCTTTCTTCTCCACCAATCTAAGTGGCTTCTCGTTTGGCTTCTGACTTAAAGAACTAGAAATTGAAAAACACTCATGAAAACTTGCTAACCCATTGATCCCAAGCTTGAAAATATCTTTATTTTCTAGGAGAAAATTTAAGAAGTACCACTGAGGAATTGGTTTATCTACATAAGGACATTTCTGGGAGAACTGAAGCTCAGCCCTTTAGGTACGAAAATCACTTTGGAAACTTCTGGTGCCGGCCAAGGTGACACAAGCACACCACAGCCTCTCCTACTTACCACAGCCAGAAACCTTGGAGCAGGCACAAAACAATAGGGAGAAAAGTAAACACTCGAAAAACCAACAGAGTCACAGAGCATTTCCTGAGTTTTTTCTATTTCCTGGTGTTGACCCAAAGGTGAACTGTGTGGCGCACGCAGACATCAGAAACGCCGAGAGCACCAGGTGCAGTGGCTCACACCTGTGGTCCCGTGACCTGGGAGGCTGAGGCAGGAGTTAGAGGGTGTAGTGAGTTATGATCACCCACTGCACTCCAGCCTGGGCAACAGAGCAAGACCCCATCTCTAAAAACAAACAAAAAGCTCTGCGAGAGACCTCCCCTCTTTCAAGCCAGAGAACTGGGGAGACGCACCATTTAAACCGGACAGTGTGGGGAATCGCCACTGATTTTCTTTTCTTCGTCTTTTTCTCTCCTGGCCCTGCTGCGAGGTCAGCTCCATCTGGGAGCTGCACATAGCAAAGGCAACAGCAATACGGTCACCTAAAAGCCCAGGAGAAAACCTATCCCTGCAGCCGGAGGAACCGGGAAGCAGGAACCCTGTGGTCCAAAGGCTGCGTGGAGGAAATCTCCATCTTTCTTGCTCCCTTATTTCTATCTCTGTCTTGTTCCCAAAGTGGCCCATCCCACGTTACTGCACAGTAATTTCTCCAGGAGAAATTATCTATTAATATCTGGCCAGAAGAACAGGGAGAAGGAACACCAGAAACTCTCACATGTGAGGGAAATTCTGAAAATAGAGACGTGGGTAGGGGGTTCCCCTATTTCTTTTTACAACCAACACAAGCCCCAGCCCCACCCCAAGTTGAGAATATGCAGAACAGACCCAAAGCAGCACACCAAAGGGTAGGAAATCGGGCTAACATTGCAACCATCGCCCACGGACAGTGAAACAGAATTTGAGCTCTGAACCCAATGGAATTGTTGACCTCTTGCCAAGATAGATGACAACCACAAAAATCAACCTTCTCTAGGAGATTTTAACAAAAACCTGAGTCTCACAACGTAATATTCAAACTGTCCAGACTACAACTCCTACAACCCAAAGTTACTCACATGCCTAGAACCAGGAAGATCAGATGGACTGTCGGGGAAGAGACAATCGATAGGTTCCACGCTAAGCGAACTCAGACGGGATTTACCAGACACTTCCACGCAG